AAAAATAACGTTGCGACAAATAAAACTTGTTAGAAGGTGCAGATGGAACTTATGATTGGCCGAATAATAACTCCATAGTAAAAAAGTTGATTTGTTTTAAAAGTCTACCATTTGAAGTTACACAAGTTGTGCTATCAAAAAAATAAATAATGGAAGCTCAGCAAAAAAATGATCATCAGTATATTAGATAACAATATTAGTTCGAAAAGTATCAATCGGTCAGCCATTAGAAACAAACAAATAAAGGATCAGAAAATGTAACGTAGGTTGCGTTTTTTAAAGTAGCCAACCTGGAGCTCAGAAATAGCGTTTCCCAAATAGGAAGCAAGCGAAAATCGCATCTCTTTTTCCAGCTGGGTGAGCCAATCATTGATAGGCGGGTTATCGGTCAATGAAATAGGATGCATAAGAACGACCTCTTCACCCTCTTTTGACAATAGACCTTGAACTTGAGTGATATCCTCGTTCAACTGAATGGAATGAACACCAGCAAACATTTTCTTGAAATGCTTCTGAAGACGAGGAACATTCTTGCTGTTACCAATAATCTCAAGAAGATCCTCATCCCCAACAAAGTAGAATCTATGAATAATTAAAAAAAATCAAATATAAATAAATACCGAATTAATAAGTAGCATAGGTAGTGAAGCATGGAAGCATGGGTAGTGAGTTACTCATGAAAGGTTGTGACAACATATGCTAATTTATACACTCAAATAAGAAGTCTTTGGCAAATTAAATAATAAATGCATTGAGCATAGAAAACACGCAACAAAATTATATCTAAATACATAAAGTATGCAAGTCTAAAATGGTAAGAGTTGGCTGTAGGCAACAGTTAATCCTTGCCTTGGAAACGAAGATCGTTGTCGCTCGAGATATTCGCCCAAGGAGCGCTGAATTTTAGAAAGAAGATCTGCCAATCTCTCAAGCTGGCGTTGTACATTTGATATATTCAAAACGTCCATGACCAAAGGAGACTTTGAAACTTTCTTCATAAGACCGAGAAATTCAGTGCTGACAGATTGAAAACGCTGAGACTCCTGGGGAAGCAGAACCTTAATATCTGCCGATCCGGCGAAAATTCCATCTAAATATACCCAGCGACGTTGAACATCAATCCAAACATCGAAAAGGGCATTTATGCGGATTAAACGATCTTCCCAAGCAAGAGCTTCTTCTTCAAATTGCTAATATAGAACAAATAGAGGAATAAAGTTACAAATAAATAGATGCAGAACATTCTCCTTGTGCGTGAACACGGAAAGAATTTAGAACATTTTAAGGTAATCCAAAAAAATATTTTTTTAAGAACTAAGTATCACAATTAAGCTTCCAATAAGTGCAGACCAAAAATTATATATCAAATTATACACTCATAAAAACATATTCAACTATAGGTTAGAAGGTATGAAGACCAAGACAGTGTGGCCTTTTGTGTGGTCGCAGTCTCCTTTCGTTGTATA